TTTCAAGTTGAATAAATATTTTATTGTATAAATAAAACAATAAAGCTCATAGAAGAAAATGTAGTAGAAGCTGGACAGAGAAGAGAAAAATTTAATCCAAAGCAAATAGAAGGAAGATATACTAAAGATAAAAATGGAAATCAATGAAATAGAAAATAAAAAACAATAGAGAAAATGAAACCAAAACTTAGGTACTTTGAAAAGATCAATTAAGCTTAATAAATCTTGATGAATGCTGATCAAGAAAAGAAGAGAGAAGACAGAAAATACCAATAATAAGAAAGAGAGAAGGCATCCTTCAGGCAATAAGAGGATAATAAAGGAATATTATGGGACATTTCATGTAGAACTGACTCTAAGTGAATAAAGCACGATCCTACTAAATTTTTCGGTAAATTACACTGCCAAAGAAACCACAGCCTCTTCTGGTCTGGCTGTTTGGCCTCTTGAGCAAACTCCAATCTCTTGAGCTCATGCCAACAGGAATAGGCTGTGAAAGTTGTGAAGCTCCCAAGAAAGACACATTCTCCAGCATCTCCTTTCAATGTACACATGGAGGATGATGGCAGAAACATCCCGGAAGGCACAGGTCCAGCCCCCAGATAACAACAGACGAGGAGTCCTCTCCTAAAGCAGAACCAGAGTCCCGGCAGATCATCATCTCCTACCTCCAGCTCAGGGAACCTGCACATCACCCCTGGCAGGATGAGGCAGTCACTAGAGCCAATGGCCACGGTGTGTTTTGCGTGCTTCCCTTTTGTAAGTGTGAGTTTGTACTGCGGTTATCTTATTCCATTTATTCCATTTCCACCAGCAATTTTGGTTGTGCAGGAGGGCAGACAACTTGGCAATTATAAGAATCCCTACCCAATCTTGATCGAGGGGGACTCATGCCACCCAGATGTCATGGACTTTTATGCTGCATGCTCTAACCGGATGGGGTATTTTCAAAGTCTTCCTTTGGGAGAGGGCAAATGGGTTCTATGTGAAGAGAGCTCATTGGGGTGGCAGAAAGGTAGCAGGGACAGCTGTTCACCAATGTCTCTCCTCCCTTTCATTACATGCTGGTTTTAGCTGGGCACATGGCCACCCAGCTAGAGTAACATTGTTAGCCCCTTTGAAGCTGGGTATAGCCACATGACCAAGTCCCACAAATAGCAGGTGGGAAGAAATGATGCCTGCTTCTCTGAGTCATGTCCTTTAAAGGAATGTATGTGTATGTATGCCTCTTGCCTTTCTCTCTGCCCACTGGCTGAATACAGATATGATGGTGACCGGCCAAGCAGCCACCTTAAACCAGAGAGTGAAGCCAGGTGTTAAGAATGACAAACTTCCTATCAGACCTGAACCACCAATTTTGGGGGCTAATAGGTAAAATGAATGAACTTCAGTCCTTTTTACACTATGGTATTTCTTTGTTATGGCAGCTTTAGACTGAAACTAACATAAATTGGTACAAAAATTAAACAGTATGAGAACTAATGATTCCTCTGCCGTGTGTGATGAGAGTAAGGACTGTGCCAGAGCTCTCCTATGCTGGCTGTATGCCAGGATGAACTGAGGAGCCCTGATGCTATGCTTGAGAGCTATTAGGTCATTGTCTCATTTTCCTGAGCTAATCAGCGAGCTTTTGTACGAATAAGGGAGGCTAAGGATGCCTCAAGAAGCTAGAAAGAAATAGGAGGAAACATTAGGGGAGAAAGGTTAAAAGGTGTATTTAAGATATTTTGCAGAAAGGTATGTCCAAAGTTATCCCTACTCCATCTCTACTAGATTTTCTTTTTTTTTAAATATATTTTTATTGATTTTTTACAGAGAGGAAAGGAGAGAGACAGAGAGTTAGAAACATCGATGAGAGAGATACATCGATCAGCTGCCTCCTGCACATCTCCCACTGGGGATGTGCCCGCAACCCAGGTACATGCCCTTGACTGGAATCGAACCTGGGAACTTTCAGTCCGCAGGCCGGCGCTCTATCCACTGAGCCAAACCGGATTCGGCTCTACTAGATTTTCTTAACTCAACATTATTTATATTTTTGGAGCTGGATTTGAATTTTTGGAGGGAGTAACGATAAGCTGAAATGAACCTGGAGGGGGTAGCAAGAAGCCCAGGAGGGCTATGGTTCGTCCAATCCTAACGGGAATAAAGAGAAGAGAGCACTAGAGGCCTAAATTATTAAAACTGTTGCCTCCAAAGCAGAGAGAGGGGAAAGGGTGAATAAAGAAGGCTGGAGTCGGCGAGAACACATGTGACATTACTATTTTGGACATAGCAGGACTTACTTTCCACCAATGTCAGGATGAAGTTATGGGTTAATTTTGCCTTTTCACATTATAAAATTGTTTATGATAAAAGGCAAAGTTTCTTTGCTTGAGTTGTGAGCATTTTTAACCTTAAAGACTTGGTTATAAAGGCACTGCAGTTGAGAATCAAGGACTAGGTCAGATCACCTGACTCAGGCCATATTTCTAATAATAGGTTGCTGCTCTGAACAGCCCATGATGTGGAAGCTGCCAATGTAAAGTCTTACGAAGTGACTTTTAAAATCTGAGGTCCATAAACTTGTTTTCAAAAAGCTGTGCCTCTCACAAATATTACCTTATCCAAACAGGATATTCTCCAGTGTAGCTAAGTTCACTACAGGAATCTGCATTCACTGCATATCCCATTACCCAGGGCGCAAGCTTCCCCCTGTGATGGATGTGGAGATACACCACCCAGATCCCCCTTCAGGGAAGGACCAAGAGCCCAGGTGTCAGCAGCCAGCCTCCAGCCAACCATCCCTGCAGGGTCTGCCTCAGCTGCAGGGAGCTGTCCTACCCTCCGGCAAGCCCTCATGTGGCCCACGTCCAAAGACTGAGATAAGTGGGGCCAATGTGGGCCGCTCTCAGGCCCATAAGCTCCCTGCAGGGTTGGCCGAGGCTTTGCCAATCCATCCCGGCCCCAGCCTGCTTCCTGCCCGTCCCTTCCTGATAACTGATCCCAATAAAGACCCTGCATGACAAACCCCATCTCAGTGTCTGCTTCCAGAGAACCAACCCGGCAGCGATGTTTGGGAGCCAAGAGTGATCTTGGAAAGCTTGTAAGAAGACGGCCCATTCGCCACCTGTCTGGCCACGAGGACGTCTGTTTCTTAGTCTAGAGCCGTGGTCGGCAAACTGCGGCTTGCGAACCACACGCGGCTCTTTGGCCCCTTGAGTGTGGCTCTTCCTAAGCCTTAGGAGCACCCTAATTAAGTTAATAACAATGTACCTACCTATATAGTTTAAGTTTAAAAAATTTGGCTCTCAAAAGAAAATTCAATCGTTGTACTGTCGATATTTGGCTCTGTTGACTAATGAGTTTGCCGACCACTGGTCTAGAACAGTGGTTCTCAACCTTGGCTGCACATTAGAATCACCTGGAAATCTTTTTAAAATCCTGATTTCTGGGCCTCATCCTCCGGAAATTCTGTTTGTTATGGGGTGGGGCCACAACATTAGTAACAAAGAAACAATTTTTGGAGGATGAGGCCCAGAAATCAGGATTTTAAAAGGTTCCCAGGTGATTCTCATGTGCAGCCGAGGTTGAGAACCGCTGGTCTAGAGAGCGTTCGGGTGATCTGGTTAGGCCAAGGCTCAGTAAAGTCTCCATTTACATTTCATCTGGCCACCTGGCCACGCCAGCTGTGCGGTTCCCTCGGCAGTTCGGGAAAGGCCTCCTGGGCCAGTGAAAGGACCTGGTCAGCAGCGTGTTCTCCATCCTTGGAATGAACCAGATTTGACACCAAGCCAACCTCTGAACCCAACACACGTCAACATTTTATGAGAAGCATGTTTTGTTTATTTTTCAGTTGATTGTATGCTTTTGGCTTGTTTTTGCTTTTATTTTTTTACTAGAGGCCCGATGCACGAAATTCGTGCAAGGGACTCGGCCCTCGCAGCTCCGGCTTTGTCCAGAAGGTCATTCCGCTGTTCTGCCGTCTGCTCTAATTAGCATATTACGCTTTTATTACTATAGATATTCCTGTTTCTGCATTTATCCCTGGAAGCAATCGGCAAGTGATGTATTTTAAGATTAAGTACAGTCTTAGTGTTTTTACTCACAGTCTACAGTTTTAAAAAGGAGCCATCTTATTTTAGTGCTGAATAGATGACTTACCAAGGGGTTGTGAAAAGAGTAAAATTAACATCATCAATAAACAGAACCGAAGTCATGGCCATTGTTTCTCATGCAAACAAACCAATTCAGAATTACCTCCTGGCTTTGACCATCCTCCCTTCAGCAAGAGCACATAGCAAAATTCAAAGTATGTGAAAAGATGATTTAAACCTCACTTCCTCAGGAGAGCTTTCCCTGACCTTCTCAGACCAGGCTCAGTCTCTCTGCTTTCCTAGCAGTTTGTACTTCCCCTCTGAAGCCCGTATCACAAAGTCCCCACATTTTGAAATCCATTATCTCCACAAAATTCTATTAATAACTATGTTATTATCTGTTATTGTGGTGAGGGGCTGAGGCCAGAAAGAATCCTTCTAGCTTCCTGAAAATGAGGCCAAGGAAAGAGCCTTCTTTCATGTGAGACAGTGTAGTGAGCTCAATAGTAACCCCAAAAGATTAGGTTCAAGTCCTAGCCCCCCATACCGGTGACTGTGACCTCATTTGGGAAAAGGGTCTTTGCAGATGTCACTGATGTTCTCGAGATGAGCTCTTCCTGGGTTTAGGTGGGCCCTAAATTCAGAAGCTGCTGTCTTATCAGAGAGAGAAGAGGGAGATCTGAGAGGCAGGGTGAAGGCCAGGTGAAGACTGAGGTGAAGACAAGCCAAGGAGCTAGGAGAGGACTGGGACAGGTTCTTCCCCAGAGCTTTCAGAAGGCACTGCCCCAGCTAACATATTCATTTAGGATTCCTGGCCCCCAGAACTGTGAAACAATGAATTTCTGTTGTGTTAAGACACCCAGTTTGCAGCCATTTGTTACAGCACCTGCAGGAGACTAATACAGACAGGAAATAGCTACTTACTTTCACGGTGCCACAGGCTCCCCAGCAGCTGGGCGGAGCTTGGATTCCGGGGAGAGCCCAGTGCGCTGTGAAGAGCCTGCGTGTTGATGTAGCAGGGGTCGTCGAAGAGATCCACTCGACACGTGTGCTTCATTAACGCGGTGTCCCTTTGGGACGGCACTGCTCTCTCGTGGGCATTACCTGCAGTGATTAGCGGAGATCAGTGAATCATGTTCTGCTTTGCAAACAATAAATGAAATCATATTTGAGTCTAGAATTGATAGGAAGCCAAAAGCCACCCTCATCCCTTACAAGGATTGAATATTGACCTGTAGAAATAAGATAAGCTCTGGTCTTTGAGGAAAAGCTCCCTCTCGTTCGTCTCCCTGCCCCACGGCTTCAAACAGACAGAAAAGGAGCAGGAAGATCCCGGAGAACAGCTGGGCAGGAAAAGGGCCGACTGTCCAGCAAACAGACCAACCGGCAGACAACACTGCTCAGAGCTGCAGCCCAGAACCAAGAAAACACACGTGCCACATGGAACCTGAATACCAATTATTCAAACTCCTTTTCAAAAAACTCATTCCTTGATTTAAAATTATGTAGAGTGGGAAGCCTCTCTTCTCTCTATGCTCAGTTTTGTTCTGCCCAACTCAGCCTTGCAGCAAGGACTGGTGTTTCCTCTGTTTTTTTTTATCAGAAAGGACTCACCCCTCAGGCCATCTCCTCCACTCCCCTGACTATCTCCTCCATCTCCCTGACTCCATCCTCTCTTCTCCATTCTAATCTGCACATTATGGCCAAAATGACCTTTTTAGAACTGAAAAGCTCATATTTCTCAGAGGTTCAAAACCCTTTAATTCCTTCCATTGCATCTTCAGAGAAAGCTCAAAGTCTTCAACAAGCCCGTGGCCCTCCTCCTGGCCACCCAGCTTCCCTGGTAACCCCTCTTGTCCCGCCTGGGCTCACATTGGCCTTCTCCCAGTATGACCCCCACCGCAAGGCCATCTTCTGATTGACATGCTCTTCTCTCCCCTTCTCCAGCATCCTCACCCTTCAGGTGTCAGTTCAAACCTCACTTTCTCAAGAGAGCCTTCTCTGACCTTCTCAGACGAGGCGCAGTCTCTGCTTTCCTAGCAGTTTGTACTTGGCCTTGGAAGCCCGTATCACAAGAATAATATATTTTGCCCTGGCCAGTTTTGCTCAGTGGATAGAGCGTTGGCCTGCGAACTGAGGGGTCCGGGTTCAATTCCGGTCAAAGGCATGTACCTTGGTTGCGGGCACATCCTCAGTGGGAGGTGTGGAGGAGGCAGCTGATTGATGTTTCTCTCTTCGATGTTTCTAACTCTCTATCCCTCTCCCTTCCTCTCTGTAAAAAAAAAAAAATCAATAAAAAATATATATTTTAAAAAGAATAATATATTTTGTTGCTTATTATTTTTTAAGGTGTGTACGATATCTGAACTGCATGTTCCATGAGGACAGGGATCCTGTCTGTCTTGTTCACAGCTGCTACTCCTGCTCCTAGCACATGCCGGGCACATAAAATGACATCAACAACAGTTACTGGATGAATGGATATTAGTCCCATCGTTCACTACCTGATGGCAGGTAGTTCAATACTTTGTACCATCCAGATGGTTCTGTCTTGAGAATGCCAGGATGGAATTTTTTTGCTTTGCTATTGAAACCAGTACATTTATAGTTTTTGGCCACATGTGCTACGAGATCACCAAGATGCACATGAAGTGGTGGCAGTGGCATTCCATCGTCCCACCATAAAACAACATCAGTCCTTTTATTGTTTCAGTCATTAAACCCCTCCCATGTGATCCAAAAGGGACCAACTTCATATTGGACTTCACATCATGGTGAACGGTTGTATGATGTAATGCAAAGCATGGAAACCTGAGTGCACGACTCAGGGAAGTCCAACCGGAAGACAACAGCTCTTAATACCTGCTCCTCCTTTACACCTTGTCTGTCTGTCGGTGTCACATGTCACCTTGTGCCATGTCATGTTCTATACATGGGCCACCCTGAGGAGGAGTGGGATTTCTAGAGGGAGAGGTTGGCAAGGCACCTCATTTGTTTGCAGCACATGACAATTTGCATCTGCTTGGTGATGTGGATTTATGAAGTGTGTTATCTCGTTTAATCTAAACTTACTTTCACAAATGCTTAAGTGGCTAAAAGATCACTGCAAATGAATCAAGAATTGAAGATTATTCTTTTTAGTACAAGCTCCTCCTTGGCTGCATTAGAGCTTCTAAGAGTAATATAATTAAACGCAAAGTTTAATCTACCAAAAGTTGGAATTATTGAGACAGCTTACACATGATTAAGTTACATTTAGGAGTGCCTGCTCATAAAAATTTACTGAAAGTGGAATATGATCAGAAGTGTCTGCAAGCAGAATGCTTCTGAATGAACAGGGGCCTGACTTCAGGTCCCTGTGTTCTCTCTTACTATTTGTGTGGCGTGAGGCATGCCACTTAACCTCTCCAACTATCAGTTTTGTAAAATGGTTTTTTAAATACATTTTTATTTATTTCAGAGAGGAAGGTAGAGGGAGAGATAGAAACCTCAATGATGAGAGGGAATCATTGACTGGATGCCTCCTGCGTGCCCTCTACTGGGGATGGAGCCCACAACCCAGGCATGTGCCTTGACCAGGAATAGAACTGTGACTTCCTGATTCGTAAGTCAATGCTTAACCACTGAGCCACACAGGCTGGGCCCCATCCCTTTCTTGACCTAACTTCCATTTATCTAGTAAGATTCTGCTCTGAATCCACCTCCTTTAGGAAACCTTCCGGGAAGTCCCTCCCTTCCCCAGGCTGGGTAAGGAAGGTGCCACTCTCTGATACACTGAAGGCGTACGTTTACTTGTCTGTCTTCCCCTTGAGACTACAAATTCCTTGAGTCCTTGAGGAGAGACTAGAATCCACTTATCGGTGTACCTTCTGCGTCTTCAATGTCCAGTCGAAAGCAGATGCCCAATAGAAAAATGTCTGTCAGCTGAATGAGCAGATGACTGAGTGTGGACCCAGGCTGACCGCACCACGACCTAAAGACCCAGAGCCGCCTTCGGCACAGGGCGCTGCTCGTCTGCCCCTCACAGCGCTGGCATGCGCTGACCACACCAAGTCTGCCATCCCACAGGCTGGCACAAAGGCGCCCGTGTCCACACCCAGTCTCTCCTAAAAACTACCATCCCTTTTTTTATTGCAAGTGTGCCATTATATTTAAGTCAGCAATGTTGTCTTAAATTTTTAAAAAAAGATATCTCACCCTTTACCCAAATTTAAAATTTTTTTGGGGAGAAGCGTGTGGTTGATGAGAGCTGACCCACACCTGCCAGCCGCTATGCAGGCCAAAAGTCCTTTGTGCCAAGTGCGACTGAGAACCACCCAACCAGCCCAAGAGGAGGTTTCTGGCAGAATATACTAGTAAGTACATACACAGTGTGTACGCTGTAAGTACCAACGTTTATAAGTAGGGTTTGTGGGAATTTAATATCTTTTTGATTAAAAATATCAACATTCCCATTTTAAATTGAAGGTTGGGGGAACATTATTCTATTTTGCTAACTATTTCTTTCCATAAGGGAATTTATTATTAAGGATAGGGATATTTTATACATCTGGCAATAAATACAGTTAACTCCTTCAACAGCCAGAAGCCTATTGCAGTATTTATAATACACTGGGATTCAAGTTTTAAGTCAGTATTTGAATAAATCAATCTCTTGGGAGGAAAAAGCCAAACCTTATTGAAAATATTTGTATAGGTGTCTCCCAAATGCTTATGTATGAATCTCTGGGAAAAACCATAAAAATGTCTATTTGCTATTCTGGCAACTGCTATTAATTTGCTCCCTGGTCAAGAATTTCAGATCACTTTTTTAACATGTGTTCAACGCAGGCCCCAAGGTAGGAACACCTGATTCCTGTGTGTCTGTGGATGAAAGGATACGGAGTTAGGGGCGTCCTTCCTGCCACAATGGGAAGAACCACACCTGCCGTGGCCCCTGGAACAGGGCTGACTTTTTCTAGCCACATGGTCTCAGTGGCTGAGGTCTGGGGACGTAGCTGCCTAGTGTTCTGGTTCCCACTGGGAGTGAGGAACCTGCTTTTTATTTTTTATTTTTATTTTTTTAAATATATTTTATTGATTTTTTACAGAGAGGAAGGGAGAGGGATAGAGAGTTAGAAACATCGATGAGAGAGAAACATCCACCAACCGCTTCCTGCACACCTCCTACTGGGGATGTGCCCACAACTGAGGTACGTGCCCTTGACCGGAATCAAACCTGGTACCTTTCAGTCCGCAGGCAGACGCTCTATCCACTGAGCCAAACCGGTTTGGCATGCTTTTTAAAAGAAACAATGTTATAGCTCGGTGCTTGACCCACAGGACAGTAAAGAGGCATTGAGTGAATTGTTGAAGAAATCCTATATAATAAAAGCCTAATATGCCAAGTGTCTGGTCATCTGTTCAACCAATCAAAGCATAATATGCCAATGATATACTGAGGCTGCTCAACTGCTCGCTATGATGTGCACTGACCATCAGGGGGCAGATGCTTCGACTGGTAAATTAGCTTGCTGCTGGGGTCCGGCTGATTGGGACTGCGATTGGGACTGAGTGAGATGGGCCAGACACGCCCTGGAGCCCTCCCGTGGTCCCTCCCTGGCTGGCCAACCTCCCGTGTCCCTCCCTGGCCTGTATCATGCACCGGTGGGGTCCCTTGGCCTGGCCTGCACCCTCTCGCAATCCGGGACCCTTCAGGGGATGTCGGAGAGCCTGATTTGGCCCGATAGCGGAACAACCATTCACTATGACATGCACTGACCACCAGGGGGCAGAAGCTCAATGCAGAAGTTGCCCCCTGGTGGTCAGTATGCTTCCACAGGAGGAGCACCGCTCAGCCAGACGCCGGGCTCATGGCTGGCAAGAGCCTCTCCCATCTCCGCAGCAGTGCTAAGGATGTCCGACTGATGGCTTACATGGCCTAAGCCATCAGTTGGACATCCCCCAAGGTCTCCTGGACTGCAAGAGGGCGCAGGCCGGGCTGAGGGACTCCCCCTAATGCCCCCTCCCCCCCGAGTGCACAAATTTCATGCACCGGGCCTCTAGTGAAGACTATAAAATGAGATCAAGGCAGAGCATGGAGACAGTTTCAGGGAGCTTCAGCACAGGTGGAAAATGGGGTCCTTAGGTGAGGGGTTTCCAGAGAAAGGGAAAGGAGGGAAGGAGGAAGCAATTATAGCTCACAGGGAGCATAGTTTTATTTATTTTAAAATCTCCACCCAAGGATATTTTTTCCCACTGATTTTTAGAGAGAGTGGAAGGAAGGAGGAGAGACAGAGAGAGAGAAACATCTATGTGAGAGAGACACGCACCCCAACCAGAGCCAGGGATGGAGCCTGCAACCAAGGTACATGTCCTTGACCAGAACTGAACCTGAATCCTTCAGTCCATGGGTCAATGCTCTAGCCACTGAGCCAAACTGGTTGGGGCAGGGAGCATAGTTTTAAAAAGACATTTACCATTCATGTAATTTGTTTTAGATCATTAAGAATTCCTTTAAAAATTTAAATAACTTTAAAGAATAGCATGAAATTTTAATTTCTACCAAAAGAAGCCATGCTTTTGAAGAATTTTAATTACTGCATTACTCACTACTCCTATTATTTTTTCAGGTTGGAGGAAGGTGGTAATCATAGCTGTACCCCAAACAATAAATCCTCATGCTTTCCCCACTGTATAACAATAATAAAGTCAATAGATTACATTGGCATAATTCCATCAGAAATACCAAAGTATCCTTGGGAGTGACTACCTTCCACAGGACAAGTTCCTGCTAATTTCCTTAGCATCCCTACGTGTGGTCATCCAGCTCTACCCTCCCCTGTACTATTTTCACTGTCCAGTTATCTCCCCCTGTAAAGCTGCAACACTTTCCTTCCCAAATGAGTACGTGAATGGATAAATACTTTCAACCATCTATAAGAATGAAACGACTACCTGTCAATATACCTTGTTTTTATGAAAATAGTTTCCAATCTGAGAGTGGATACCCTGCACCTGTGCTGTGGAAAAGCTGCGCCCTATGTCAATAACCACAAGCAGTCATCAGACATTTAACGCCCCGGCAAGTCTGGGGTGGGTGGGACCGGGATCAGGACTCACATTTCAGATTTCTCTTTGTTCCCTTTGCCAAGCAGAAATAAAGGTTTTCTCTTAATCCTGGTGGACTTGACAAGCACTCATTTTCACATTCGCCTACTGCCTGACCTTTGAAGTGGGAGTCGGAGAAAACACCTTTCCAGTGCGAGCCTTTGTGCCAGAGCAGTGAGAGGCCCCGTGAGGGAGGAGGACAGTGCAGTAGAGGGAGAAACTCGAGCCTCCACGGGACCCGCCTGCGGCCTCCTGGGTCTCTCAGAACGCGGAGGCCTGTAGCCGAGGCAGTATGTGTTCAGAATATGCACCTGCCTTTCCCATCAAGTGTTACAGCAAGGTCCACGTGACATAAAAGGAGTAGGGAGAGTGGCCGATGGGGAAGGGCAACTGTACCTACCGATTGCCCTGCTTTGCTCCAAACAGTTCTCATAGACGCTGCTGCAGTCGGAGTTCCCAGGCTGCAGGGACAACAGATCGTGAGACATTTACAATCACAGCATCGGTTCCTGAACTTCCCCAACATAAACTAAGCAGGAATAACACTCCCAGCAGACTGCAGCAGACAACTTCACCTTCTGATACAGGAAGTGCCTGGCAGGTGAAAAAAGGAAACGGGCTCGGGGTGAGGAGTGTAGACTCCTTTCCATGGTGCGTTGTTGGGAGCTGCAGAGACGGGGGTGAGGGTCGTCACAGCTGCCACCACCAGGAGCACCCTGAGGGACACTGCTTCTGCTGGGAGGTCACATTCCAGGACTCAGGCCAAGGCTCGGCGAGAAGGTGTGATTTCCAGGACACTTGTCTAAACACCGGCCACTTGGCAAACCTCTATCTAACCGTGAATGGCAGACTGCAGCCCTACTCCGCTGGGGCTGGTGCCAGGCTCACTTTCATCCTTAAACATCTCGTGCTCGCTTCAGTATTGGGATGGGATCCAGGGATGCCTTTGAGAAGGGGTGTCTGTGCTTTAGGAAGATAACCCAGCCGTTTCGTGCGGGAGTGTTTGGGGGCATGAAATTAGAGATAAAGGGGCTTCCAGAATCACCCGGGCAAGTGAGGACCAGAACTTAGAAAGATGCGCTAGGAATGGAAAAGGTTGGGTATATTCAAAACACATACAACCCCAGGTCTCTAAGATGAGTTGCTATAGGGCTCAATGTGTGAGGAAAACAAAAAAAAACTGTAGATTATTGGAAGAGTGGTAATGCCATTCTTTAACACGAGTAAATCAGTAGAGGACTCTGGCTTGGAGTCCAGGAGAAAAGGCTCAGTTCAGTCTTGATATAAACCAGCAATTTCATGCCTGTGGCATCACAGCCGAGGGAGGTAACAACTGGGAGAAGAGGCTGGAGGACTACATACATAGGTGTCAGGCCACAGGAGAAACCGGGCCAGGGCAGCGCATTGGAGAGCGCCTCCCTCCTGGTGAGGCAGGGGCTTGGCTTCCCAGGGGAGGGGATGCAAGAATACAAGACAGAAAAAGAAAAGATGCAACTTATTTTGGAAATGCATCAAAAATAAGATGGATGGATGGGTGGAGGATAGATGGCTACACAGGATGACAGAGCAAATATAGTAAAATGTTAATTGTAGAATCTAGATCAGGGGTGGGCAAACTTTTTGACTCAAGGGCCACAATGGGTTCTTAAACTGGACCGGAGGGCCGGAACAAAAGCATGGATGGAGGGTTTGTGTGAACTAATATAAATTCAAAGTAAACATCATTACATAAAAGGGTACGGTCTTTTTTTTCAATTGTTTTATTCATTTCAAATGGCCGGATCTGGCCCGCGGGCCGTAGTTTGCCCACGGCTGATCTAGATGGTGAGTCTATGAGTGTTCGCCTTATAATTCTTTCAACTTTTCTGTATGTTTGAAAATATTCATAATAAAATTTGGAAAGCCAAACAAAAGAAAGAAAAACGGCAACTAGAGATGTGGGATCAGTATCACACAATGGAAATGTTTTAGAAGCTAACAGATGAGGTCTAAGAAAACACAAGGCAACCAACAGGTATCAAATGCTGGAGACAAATTCAGAATACTGGAGAAGGAAGTAGATTTAGCAATTAAACCACTGGTGACTAAAAAAAAAAAAAAAATTGGCGACTACTGTGAAAGTAATTTCTCTCAAGTTGTCAAGTGGAGTTCAGATCTTAAAAGTATAGGTAAAGATTGTTGTTTTTCCTTTTTTCTAGAAGTTTGTGGGTTAAAGAAAGAGGAGGAGGTGGGACATTATTAGTTGGGTTGGAGGAGTCCAAGTTTATGTGCAGACAGAAGGGAAAGAACTGGTAGACAGAGAGAGAGAGGTTGATGACAGAACAAGGGCACAGAGTTGGTAGGATGGGTGGATGGGATCAGGAGCCCAAGGAAAAGAGTAGCTGTGGAGATGGTAACTAAGGAAGAGAGGCGAGGAGAACGCAGGAAGACTTGGAGACGGGAGAGGGTGAAGTTGAGGATAATGTGTTGGACCGCCCTGGGGTTCCAGTGAAATGAGATGTGAGGTCAGCTGCTGAGGCTGAGGTTGGGAATTGGAGTAAAAATGATCTACTCCAGGCCCTGTCAATGATTCACTCTCTGGCTCAGTACTGAGGAAGATGATACTTTCTCTAAATTAGCATTTGGAAACCCACAAATTAAACTCTCTAGTGATAAGGACAGAATCACTTTGCTAGTTCCAATCATAATAAAACGTTACTTACCAAATAGCACAACTTTTCACACCGTATGGGGCAGTAAGCCATCTGCTCTGTGGCTTGAACTCTGACCCGCACGTCTGAAACACCACCCATGGGTGGCTGCTTTCCTGGTATTTCATTGTAATACTCATGATCCTCTCTCTCGTCCGCATGGCCGTCAATATGGACCTCCTCACTGTAAGGCAAAAAAGAATCCCCAAGAGGCTGGGCGGGAATTCAAATGCTGTAGGGGATGCAGATGGGTCAGAACAACGCAAATCATCCTGGAAAACGCTGCATTCATGTTGTAATTTTACAGATGTGCTTAAACGATGTCAAACATCTGGATGGAAGCAACCAGATGGCTGAGTTGTTTAGATTTCCATGGACAATTAAAGTGTGATAAGCCAACCAAAGTGACAAGGGTGATGCTTTTGTGTCTCCCTTCCAGCCCAG